TTAAACAGGCAAAAGTTAACGCCTTCAAAAATCCAAACTTATAATTCTTGAGGAAAACCCACCACGGCCATTTTCCAAAAATTTACACTTCAGTAAACCGGACTTTGTTCACCTCACCATATACTAGGGAAACCGTCACAAGAAGGATACTCGCTTTTGGTTTACGTCGTCTTAACAAAAATTCCCGTTAATCTACAGCAGATTGACGGGAATTGAGTACTGCTGACAGTTACAGACTTACTCGTTAAACATCTATTTATAGCTGGAAAAAGTAACCGCCGCGCCCAGCAGCTAGTCAGTATCTTTCAGCTTTGTTAGAACCCCAGCAGTCACCCATAAAGTAATTTACATAAATTACCCGTTCTAAGTGCGAGAAGTTATTATACTAAGTGCGAAATAGTGCCTAAGTTCGTATTTTATGGACTAAGTGCGGTATTTTATCATTAAGTTTCGCGTTACAGGACCCCCCAAAATGAACATTTTCTTGCGTCTTGGGAAGAGTATTGTAGAGTGCCCAGTAAAACTTTGTGGTGTTAAGTATGATACTAAAACACACTAACTGCCCTAAGGATCCACGTCGATTTCATTCTAGGAGTCGAGATATGTTATTTTAAGTTTTTGGGATGTCATGGATGCAAATCGTTTGCTACAGGCTCAAGAACGCACTTTTTGTATACCATGTTATTTTAAGAAAATGTCCGTTTCGATGCGCTCTTCAAAAATGTTCGACTTGCGAACCATGATTTTCTGCGTCTGTGCCACGTAATTCAGCAAAAAGAGCATGTAATGGAGTGAAATGAGAGGGTGTGTCATCTCTAAAGTAAAATCTTTAAAAGAGCATAACTTAAGAACGGCTGGGAATAGGTGGCCGTTCTTTTTACCATCATGTGCGCCTAAAAAAAGTACACTATCGTGACAATCGATATCGGTCGATATGGTATAAATTGATAAAGTTATGCTCGATTATGTACGCGAAAACAGAAAAAGGGCGCTGGTGACAAAAAAAGTACTAACGATTCTGTTATTGTTTTGATATTCTGTCATCCCAGACTCTTGCGCATCTGGTGACCTATTTTTTATTCGCCAGTTCCGAGAAAAGTGTCGTTTCGATGCGTGGTGGGCCCGGGATGACAATTCGAGTTGAGTTGGAAGTTCATGTGAAGTCCTGGAAACAAGAAAAAAAGAAGATCCACGCTTCCCTAACTCAAAAAGTCATTAGAAACCGAGGGTAGCTTGTATGGAGACTTTTGTTCCTCGTGCGCTAAAACGCCGAATTAAATTTTTTATCTATACTTAACAGGAAAAAAGTTGCCTCCTTCGCGATATATAGGCAAATAAAGAATGGGTGCTATCATTTCGGGACAAAACAGGTGAAAATTTAGGTCGAAAAAAGTGTTTATAGACAAGGCATTTGAATTTAGCCAAAATCTGACTTGACCACGGGAATGCGCGCATAAAAGCACCCCTAGGGCAGTTTTTATACGGAGCAGTCTCATTTGCTTCCTGGATGTGCAGGGCCAAACATGGCCAAAAGTGGTGATTTTGGCCGTCCAAGGTGTCCATTTTCCGCGAAAATGGCGTTTTTTGGCGTCACTAAAAAAATCATTGCGAAGCAACTACTGGAGATATGCTTGTAAAACTTTGGGAGCGGTCGTGCGAACACATGCGCCAAGTTTTCTGCTAAAGTCTGCAGGCCAGATCTGCCGGGCGGCACATAAAACCGGAAAAAACCACCTAAAAAAAGAGCATGCCAAACAAAGTCTCACATTTCGCTGAATAACTTTTGATCTAGAAGAGTTAGACAAATTCTGATTGCGGGAACGGCTCCGCCGTGTGTTTTTACATATGTCTATGTCCCGTAGATAAAAAGTACATGTTGCAAAAAAAGTACATGTTGTACATAAATCTACCTTTGATATTCGGATTCCCCGTGAAAAACTACGCCTAGGCCGCAGGGTTACAAAGACGAGTCATTGCACTTATGCCCTTTTATAGACGCTTTTAGAAATCGGCCCAAAACAGTATTTATTAATTTAGACAGTGTTCCGCTGACATGTCGCATGCTGCGATATGTCCACGTGAAAGAGCACCGAAAAGCACCCCTAGAACACCCTTCATACCCGTTCTAACGGTTCTCTTTCATCTTCATAATAATCAAATTAAAGAACACCATACAAAAAACAAGATCTCGTGTGTAGTGGCTCGCCAGGCATACTAAAACCAAGATGTCGTGTGGGCACATGCCAGACATCATATCTTGCGTTTGCAAACACACGCAAAGTCGGTAAACAGCTCAAAACGGGCTAAAAAGTAGACAGCACCCGGACTTCCCCGGTGGTCACCCACCCGAGTACTACCCGAGCTTGAGGCTGCTTAACTTCACAGAGCAGACGGGATATGGTGCTTTCAGCCTAAGATGGCCGTCTACATTTGACTTTGACCGACACACCTATTAGTGTTTATCACTCGTATACATTGGTACAACACATTTACACACTCACATGTCCACATACGTGGCCATAGACTGCACACGATGGCCCCCAATACCCCTTCTGGCCCTCAGAATTGGCTGGGTGGATGGCTACACTTTATATAGTAACAAAACAAAAAGGGGGGTGGTGTGGCGCACTCCAATACAAACGTGTGGCCAGCAGCTCACTCCTACAACGCAGCATACGTATTCTCTCCGATAGGAACCCCACACAGACCGACACCTTCATACACAGCAGTGCAGATAGCCGCCGCACCCCATATTTGCGCATACGCGGCCTGGAAACAATGTTAAACCACCAAAGTGGCCATTTACGACTTGCACAACCATACCTACGCTTCCTATGCGACATGACATGTGCACGTACGCGTCTTAGGCAATATGAACACCTTCGACACCTTCATACATGCACAGCGCGCGCTCCGCTTAAGTACGACACCAACTTGTCATATACATCATGCGTTTCCTCCCGTCACCTTTCATCACCTCCATATTCACACCCATGCGCCGTCACCTTCCTCGCGCCATCACCTTTCACCATTTTCACCTCCATATCCGCGCTTCCTCCGCCGTCACCTTCCGCGTACGCGTCCATATTCGCTGCGTTTCCTCGCGCTTCCTGCCTGTTATTAATCCAAGCCAAAAACATCTCCAAACCCATACAATTAGAACAGCAAACAACTTCGCATTTTTTCACAAAGTCCTCAGCTTCATTTTGCATACTTTATCCTAGTCTAATTCACGCTATTCCGCTCTCTTTAACATACTTAAACTAAGTCTAATTCACGCTACTCTGCTCTCTCTAACATACTTAAACCAAGTCTAATTCGCGCTATTCTGCTCTCTTTAACATACTTAAACCAAGTCTAATTCACGCTACTCTGCTCTCTCTAACATACTTAAACCAAGTCTAATTCGCGCTATTCTGCTCTCTTTAACATACTTAAACCAAGTCTAATTCACGCTATTTCGCTCTCTTTTAACATACTTAAACCAAGTCTATTTCATGCTATTTCGCTCTCTTTTAACATAGTTAAACCAAGTCTATTTCATGCTATTCCGCTCTCTTTAACATACTTAAACCAAGTCTAATTCACGCTATTTCGCTATCTTTTAACATAGTTAAACCAAGTCTATTTCATGCTATTCCGCTCTCTTTAACATACTTAAACCAAGTCTAATTCACGCTATTTCGCTCTCTTTTAACATACTTAAACCAAGTCTATTTCATGCTATTCCGCTCTCTTTAACATAGTTAAACCAAGTCTAATTTACGCTATTTCGCTCTCTTTAACATAGTTAAACCAAGTCTATTTTATGCTATTCCGCTCTCTTTAACATAGTTAAACCAAGTCTAATTCATGCTATTCCGCTCTCTTTAACATAGTTAAACCAAGTCTAATTCACGCTATTCGCTCTCTTTAACATAGTTAAACCAAGTCTAATTCACGCTATTCGCTCTCTTTTAACATACTTAAACCAAGTCTAATTTTACGCCCTGCCGTCTAGCTTGCCCTGTTAAACCCCCATACTAAAATCTCACGATTTTGGCTCAGAAATCATTAGCGCTGGCACTTAGCGATTTTCACGCAAAGTGTTTCTCGCTTTCTGCCTGTTATAAACCCGATACTAAGGTCGCCGAATTTGGCTCGGAAAACAATAGCAGCGGCACTTAGCGATTTTTGCGAACAAACCTCACTAAGCCAAAACAAAGACTTTGACGATCTTAAGCTTAACAGTATTAACTCTCTACCAGCACTTTGACCGGTTACTTTCGCCGCCCCATAGCGAAAGTAAATCACTTTAACGCAGCCTTATTTCGACTGCTTAACTTTATAGTTTTAACATTGCGCGTTCGCAATTGGGGGGAGAAATGTTCATTTCTGAACAAATCAATAGAACAAGGGCTAAATCTCAGCAGATCGTAGTACAAGACTACTCTCATGCTTACAACACCCCGTTCTGTAGTTAAGTCGTCTACAAAGGATTTATCTTTCCCAATATTTGAAATTACAAATCAGCCTACTCTCCACCGCCAGTACTTGACAGGCAGCGGAGTGCGTTGCAATTGTATGATGTTGGGTGTCCAGAAGACACCTATCGCTATTCGCGGCACATCGGGAAAGGTGATTATCGTCTATTCCAGCATGGATTCTGACTTAGAGGCGTTCAGCCATAATCCTACAGATGGTAGCTTGGCGGCACTAGCTTTTCAGCTAACCGCAGTTACCAATTATCTGAACCAACGGTTCCTCTCGTACTGGGTTGGATTACTGTTTAGACAACGAACTCATCAGTAGGGTAAAACTAACCTGTCTCACGACGGTCTAAACCCAGCTCACGTTCCCTATTAGTGGGTGAACAATCCAACAATTGGCGAGTTCTACTTCGCAATGATAGGAAGAGCCGACATCGAAGAATCAAA